TGGGCGTGGCGCTGCTTGGTGGGCGTGGGGCTGCTTGGTGGGCGTGGCAGGGGAAGGATACTGCAAAATCCCATTCCCTCCCTACCCCACTAACCTACTTTCCAGCTCCGTTCTCCTGTGCAGGGCAACGAAAGAAGACCCAGCCAATCAGCTGGGACTCGGGAGGCAGAGAAGAGACGAGGTTGGCGGGGCCAGTCAGAGGTGGTATTTGCCAATTCTCCAAACTACTCAAAATTTCCGCTACCAGTTCTCCAAAACTGGTCAGAACCTGCTGAATACCACCTCTGAACTGGACTTTTTGTTTTTTTCTTTGAAGACGCTTCCCTTCTCATCCAAGAAGCTTCTTCAGCTCTGACTAGATGGTGAGGAATGGAAGGATTCTTCCATTCCCCACCGTTCAGTTAAAGCTGAAGAAGCTTCTTGGATGAGAAGCGAAGCATCTTCAAAGAAAAAAACAGAAAGTCCAGTTGCCTCTTGAACCAGGAATCTTAAATGGGTTTACTTCTTTTCAAGCTACACGCTTATCTTGAATCTTGCTGAAGGTTAAACAGGTCAACACTTGTTGACATACAAACTTTGCTGATTTTCAGTTTAATCTGCTTTTTGAACTTCAGTATTTACATCACATCTCTTCCAATCCCATGGATACCCCAATAGGGTTCAACCCAAAGCAGTTCATAGGGGTTTTTTTATGGCATACTCCACTAGGGCCACACTACACAATTTCACCACAGTCATCCTCAAGAGGCTCCCCAGATAGCAATAAGAAATAACTTGGGTTGTTGTTGCTTTTACACATAAAGCAGAAATGCTTCTTAAGGTCTTTTTCACTTGCAATTTGGTTTGATCTCAAAAATAGGAGTTAGAAATCCCAGAGAAATTCAAACAATTTCTTAAGTAAGAACCAATCAACCAATGGTACAGCTCAATCAACCAATGGAAGAGAAGTTGCCTTCGGAAGTTGTGAGAGCTTCATCACCTGAGACTTTCAAGAAGAGATTGGACTGCCATTGGTCAGAAATGGTGTAGGGTCTCCTGCTTGGGTGGTGGGTTGGACTAGATGACCTACAAGGTCCCTTCCAACTCTGTTAATCTAATCTAATGTAAATGCTCTCTGAATGTGTTTAAGGCCATGATCCAACATGGTAAAGTTAATCAGAACCAAAGTAGCCTGTACAAAACGCCTGTTATGATCCACATAGCAGTGAGCTTGGGTCAAATGCATTTTCCACAAAGAAAATAGGTTTCAAAAATGATACTTTTTATGACATAGAAATCTTTTTCCACATGGTATTAAGTCTTTAGAATTTGAATCAAAACCTATTGCGATGACCTGCCAACTCCAATGATGTGGAGGAAATAGATGGGTGTATTTGCACTCAATTCATAGATGAAATGTATATGGATCAAGATACAATATTCAGAGAATGGATGTTTTTAGGTAAGTTATAAGGGAAAAAAATATGTACAGCAAGAGGTCTCTGAAATTCCAAGATCCAAGCTCTTTTCCTCCATTTCCTCTTTATTAAATTGTACATACTGAATTCATCCTCCAATATTATACAGATACTAACATTGTTACCATTTGAATTACAAGTAAGCAATATATAATTCATAACACAAAGTAAAATTAAACAAATATCCAGGTTTTTGTATCGTCAACACAATTTCCCCAGGTTATTTAAAATTTCCTCCTTTGCTGCAGGATAAAGATTGACTTCCTTGTTGAAATACAAACATTGTAATTAGCAAATTGAATGGATTTAGTCTTCTGATATTACATAGTAATTTGTTGGCTTGCCCACTCCTGGAGAAGCAGGGTCTTGAGCAATATCAGTATGTACTAAGGATGTTCCTTCCACATGTGCCCAGATACACAACACAGATTTGATTGGAGGCCACTGTATCAGGGTGAACTGCCCGCTATTACTGTACTTAAAAAGATCAATAAATAGCTTTCTTGAAACCCACACCATTTCCCAGAATACGTAGTGCAAAAAGGAGTATGCATACACCATGTTTTTACCTCAGTCTTGTATTTACATTTTAGCCTTTGCAGTCAGGTGTTTTGTTATCGAAACTGACTCTCTTAGAGAATCTAGATCTTGCATTTCCTTCCACCCTTGATTGAAAGTAAAATGTGACCCTTTATTTCCTGTTTACTTAATTCTGTGATGGATTTCTAGCTTTTGACCATTTGTATCAAAACATACGAGAAAAACATACCGACCCTGGATTAATTCTTGTGCAGATATACAGATGAGCTTCACCTAAGTATTTAATTCAATAAAGGTTTCAATATTGCTGCAGACGGCTGTCTCTAGATCAAATCCCAAGGCTGCTTGAGAATTCCCAGGGCATACTAAGATACTACCCTGACCATCTGCACACAGTAATCACCCTCAAATCCATCCTGCATACAAGAAGTGTTTTATGACACTGGCCTACCTCACAGGACATGCTGTTATAATGTTCAGTTTAGGCTTAATCTGTCAGGTGGCCTAATCACTATGGTTTTAAGCAACCTCTACTTCATGGTAGTTTTTGTAGCAAACCATGACTTAATATATGCAGAATCCCTGCCATTATAATGAACCCTACCTGTAGCAAGGAAACAGTATGTTTACTACAAGGGGGAAAGATAATTGAGCAACAGGTTAAATAGCATACTTTATGCTTGGAAGTAGCTACCTTTTAAATCAGCCTGTTTGCACCCTGTAGATTATTTCTTTTTGTATGTCACTGTTACAGTGACTTTGGGGGGGCGGGTTATGTAGTTTTAAGGTAGATATAACGGCTTTCCTGATAGAGGGGTCTATAAATGTACTCTGGGCAAAAGCAAACCAGCTTAGTGTCATCTTAACAACTGCTGACCCAGATCCTTTATATGAACCTATTCTTGATCCCACTTTTATTTTTCACAAGAGTGATACCTCTGTGGAAGAGAAACGAAATTCTGCCCAAAGATTAATCAGGATATTAACCATGGCTAAGACCATAGAGCCAATCACAACAAGGAAACCTTCTACTCCAGGTGTATTTCCTTGGTTACCTCTTTAAAGACTGGTGGACACAGTACTTACTCCTTGATTTGTGGACTTCAACTCCCAGAATTCCTGAGCTAACATGACTGGAGGAAAAATTCTGGGGGTTGAAGTCCACAAATCTTAAACTTGCCAAGTTTGAGGACCCCTGTTCTAAGAGAACATTTAGCCTCCCTGCTTTTATAGTGTGAACTATCCTGCCTTAAGGCTATTCTGTAGAGCATTTGGGCCTCCAATTGGCTGTTATGATCTCCACCCACCTGAAGTTGTGAAAGTGCTAGGGCCAATGCACTACACATTGTTGTGTGGTTAAGGAACTTCAGCTGTCAAAATTTTTAATCTGTCTTCCACACCTTCTAAGTCACCATTTGGATATCAATCCCAAGATCACTTGAAACAGAGCTGAGCAAAGAATCTAACTGTATTCGTAAGAAATTTTTGTGTGAGGCGTAGTTGACCTTAAGAGCTGGACACATGGTACTGTTTTCAACAAACTCATTAGAAATGTATTTTATTATTAAATTGATAGGCCACCCATCTCACCCTTAAAACAGCTAGCTTTATACTAAGTCAAAGTTATATTTTGGCCCTCAGTGCTTTTCCTGTGAAAAACGGCAATGGCTGTGGAAGATAAACATGGCTAACTCATCTTCTCCAAGGAGGCAGCTCAATAAAAGGCAAGTGTTCTGAGGGGAATACTACTTAAACTTGAGATAATCTGAAGCATAGTAGCATGAAAAAGCTAGGAAAGCTTAGTTACCGTTAGAAACAAGGATTACCAAAGGAGAGCAACTGGCCTTATAGTTCAGTAATGCCCAGCATGTGGAGGGAGAATGCATAACTTGCTCCAAATTATTTTAAAGAACAGATTAGTTCAACAGAAAAAAAAAATACAAGCAGAAAAGGCAAGGTTTCAATTTTACATTAACAAAATTATTTTTCACATACTGTTTTAGTGTGGTACTTGGGAAGGACGAATGACGCACAAGAAAATATGACCTTGCTGCATGCTATAAAAAAACACTTGATTTTTCCTTTCAAGTTTTTTTGGTACCCGAAATAAAAGTCTTTTATAAAACTTTGGAAATCTTTTACAAAAGGTTATATACTCGTTTTACTGGTCCCATTTGACTGTCCTTACCCCTGTGTGTACATACCATCTTCCAAAGAAATATGGATTAGATTTAGCAGTACAATTTATGATTCTTGTTTTTCCACGTCTAGATTTCTACTGAGGAAATAGATATTTAGGCTATATTCCTTTTCAGGATAATTTTCAAACCCATTTCAAACATTTTGTAAAACATACAGACACACTGGAACCTTTGATGTTTCCTAGGAATACTTTCTGAAATTCTTCCAAAGAAACGCTGCAACCCACTAAGGAGCAAAGTTTTATTGGTGTGATTTTTAACCCAGGGAAATGGGTCAAGGGGCTGGCTGGACCCATAAAGATGCTCATCCGGGCAACTTCCAATAAGTACTTGCTTTATACTCTGAACTGAGTATGCGGATTCCCTCCTTTCCTCCTATCCAAAGAATATTATTTATCTAAAAATTGTTCAATAGTGCTAGTATCTTCAAGCTCTACATAACTGGCTGGTTAATGTACATTTTAAAGACCTGGGAAATTATATTCAATTTTTGCCAACAGAATGCAATTTCCAAGCTCAACAATGAACACGTCCACACTATCAATAGTTAAATTAGATATTTCTTTTTCACCATGTTTATTACTAATGTACAAAATATACAAAACTTAGAGCGAGACATTTTGTTCCCCCTCAGGAGAGAGGTTGCTGCACCCACTTCAGGATGAGGGGAGATGGGAAGATGTTGTGAGAGTCCACATCTTATGAGACCGTTTAAAAACAAACAAACACCCACAACCAACAATGTAAATCAGGAAAACAAAAGTTACCCCTTTAAACCATTAGTCTCCAGATTTGAGTTTTCACAGAAAACAGTTTGTAGGTTTCTCCCAATGGCAGACTTAGCACCAAGGGAAACCACATCTGTGCAGTTCAACATAGGGCACTGCAAGGAGTATTTTACAAAGGGGCAGTTGGGGCATCCTGCTTCAAGAGGGTATGTGTGCAAATGGCGGCTGCTGGAATTCCCCGTTCTCCCAGTGGGCCTTTTAGCCAGGATCAAATGGATTTCCGGCCATTGGATCTCCCAGAATGATGCACAAGCAGTTGCTGCACCCTCTTCCCCTGCCTCACACACATTGTGTTCCTAAAAAAGGACCATTTTCCTGCCGATGCCAGCTCTTCCTCCAGACCAAAGCAATTCATTCAGTACCGGTCTGGTTCCTGGGAAGTTGAAGAACACCGCCCAGTCAAATCAAGGCTGCGAGCAACAATATCCCCTTCCTTTGCTGGTTCCATAGGAATATTTACATAAACTGTTTTTTTTTTTAAACAAAAAAAACCGAAACAAAAACAAAAACCACAACCGCCCTCTTTCAAGTCTCTTGTGCTTTAAAAGTCATTGGTTGCCTCACCCCCACCCCCCAGATGGGGAGGGGGGGAAAAGAGGCCTCCCAACAGTTTCTCTTTTGAGGGTGCGTCAGTTCGTCAGTAGCAGCAGATGCGGAAGGAGGAAGTAGCCACATTCCCTTGCTCCAAGCATTTTAAAGGGCCTCACGGAAGCCATAAAAAACAGGCGCAGCATCAGCAGAGTTCAAGGTCAATGGGAATGTGCGCCAGATGCCACAGTCAGGATAGGTGGAGAGGGACGCGGGCTCCTTGTGCTAGGGCAAGGGTGGCCCATTCACGCCGGGGTGGTAGAAGGCACAGTTGTTCTCGTATCTGCAGCTGCCTTTCATGGTGAAGTGACGACATACGGGGCGCTTCGACCTATCTGAAGGGCAAGAGGGAATAAACAGAGCCGTCAGCTGCAGAAGCAGGAACTTCATGCATTATCACTTCCCCCAGCAGGCCTCCTGCCCTCCAATCTTGCACAACTCCACCCACAGCCCGACCGACATGCACGGCACTAAGGTCAAAATTTTAAAATGGCAAATTGCATGGCTTTAAAATAAAAGAGGTTTATTTGAAGACCTAGCTTGACATGAAATGCACTTTGAGGTATTTGCTTTTTAGAAGAACCTTCCTACAGTCATCCCCACCTGCAAATCCCTGTAATAACATGCCACTCTTAAACTTGCTTTTACGGCTTCCCCATGCAACTCAGAATGCGAAAACAGATCCCTCTTAAAAAACCCATCCCCCGTGGGCACAGGAATTCATATTTACCTCCACCATGGCCGCCTCCGTGCCCCCAGCCGTGGTCCCCTGGGTGACCTCTGCCATGGTCCCCTGGATGTCCCCTGCTGTGGTCCCCTGGATATCCCCGGCCGTGGTCCCCTGGATGACCACCTGGATGTCCCCGGCTGTGGTCCCCTGGATGACCGCCTGGATGTCCCCTGCCGTGGTCCCCTGGGTGGCCCCCTCCACCGTGACCTCCGTGGCCACCACCGCCGTGTCCCCCTCCATGGCCACCGCTGCCGTGTCCCCCTCCATGGCCACCGCCCATGCTGTTGTTGGGAGGGCCCCCCCTACCATTGGGGGGACCACCACTCCGTCCGCCTCCTCGCCCTCGGAAAGGAGGCTCTCCACCTCTGCCGCCACGGCCACGATGGAAAGGGCCGGGTCCGGGTCCTGGGCCAGGACTGCCACCTCTCATGCCTCCGTGGGGCCCACCACGCATGCCACCATCGGGAGGATCCCAGTATCCATCATTACACTGGGGAGGAGGTGGGCCCATCATCCGTGGTCCATTGGGCACACCAGGGCCGGGGGGCATGTTAGGACCGCCTGGGCCTCCATGTGGTCCTAAGGAAGGGAGAAGAGGTTATGAGGTAAGTTAGTGTCAGACCCGTTAAGACCTCCAGCCGTCATCCTCGCAGTCTTCTGTAGACCATGCCCTCTTCTCTTGCCATCCCACCTCAAACTGTTCCCTTCCCTTAACAGATCTCTGCTTACCAGGCATAGGCCCTGGCCCTCCAGGAGGGAAGTGCTGCATATTTTTGGGCCCTGGTGGGAAGCCGTTGGGGACTGGGCCAGGTCCTGGTCCAAGCAGCCCATGTGGGACTGTAACAAAAACAAAGAAGCTGTTAATTAAACCAATATCATAAAAACAACAACAGCTAGCTAGAACTAATACTCAGACCAGGTTAAGGTATCTTTTTTCTTTTAAGGGCACTAAGAAGACTTGTATCCTAGTTCCCATTTTCAAATCTATACAAAGGAGAATACAAAGTCTGACATATCAGATGGACTTATAGGAATGCAATGAATTCATCTGGAGGAGAGTTAACAGCTAAGGAAAAACAGCCCATTGACCCAGGGCTTTTCTTTTTACCTCCTGAAGGACCTGGTCCAGGCTGGCCCTGCAAATTGCCAAGCAAGTGCTTAATCTTGTCAGAATAATCTGGCTGCTTCATCAACTCTTCTGTTTTGTGATTGTTTGAGCCACCCTGCACAAAATAAGAGAAATTGAAGAAATTGAGAACATGTCTTGTATCTCACCCCTGCCCTACCTCCCATTGCTGCCCTGATCCTATACATAAACCTGCCTAAAAATGCTCTGCCACAAGTGAGTCTTACACCCTTTGCACAAGGGTCTCACTTGGAGCAGAAAATGGGTTTCAAGAAAGAATCCCATTTATCAGCTTCACTTACTGATAACTTGGAAACTCTCCTATTATTATTTGTGGATTATCCTGGTCTTATTTTCTGGAACCTATATTTTTGGGAGGTGCTATCTTCAAGGCAGATGACACGTGTGAATCAAGGGCCGTGTTTCATGCTTTCTCAGTCAGCGTTTCCACTATTTAAAAAAAACACACACTATCCTATGACATTTCTAATTACCATGATGGAGGTGAGAATCTCCTGCATGTTGATGGAAGAAGAGCTGGGGTTGGGGCCCTGCGGATTCTTGCCTGCCCCCATGCTGCCCATGAGGTTGGCCAGGACCGGGGGGAGCTTGGAGCCCCCAGCTCCGTCCGGAGACTGCGAGGCGGTGGATGGGTCGAGTCTTTCATCGTAGGTGGCCTCATCCATGGAGCATTCCTGAGAGAGGTGACAGAGGAGACACAAGGAGTCAGGAGGGATTGGCTGCTGGGGAGCTGGGTGCTCAAACCCAAGGTGGGTGAAACTGGCAACAAGAACTTGGGGGCATACAAGGGGCTGGAGGACCTTAGGGCAGAGCAGCTACGTTAAGAAATGTTCCCCATCTCAACTCTGTTTCTGTTACGCTCAAAAGGGAACAGAAACATAGAGAAGGAGACAGGTTATAGTACATAGGACTTCCAGTACCCTTTTAGAAAGTTCTCTGCTAAATATAACGGAACTTGGGAGCCTTATCTGTTAAGTACCCTAAACTAAAAGAATAGATGTCCTATTTTAACATTTAAAGGCAAGCTCTGACCTCTCATTCCCACTCTACTATAACCCACATAGTTTTTGTCTGATTAAAATAGAGGGCGGAATAAAAAAGGGACCAACCATATTTACCTCATCTAAAGGAATCAGCTTGGGTGGCACTGGCTCGTAGGACTCTGGGTCTGGTTCATGAGGGCTGTCAGGAACACTGAGGGGAAAAAAGACAAAAAACATCAGCTTGATGTTAAATAAAGGATGGCGGGGGAAGGTCAATTTATATTAGCTGAAATAATTGAGCCTGGAATATTAAAAATAGGTGGTTTAAATTTCTGGACAACATATGAATTAAAAACTTTCTTCTTCCTCCTCCCACAGAAACACGGTCGGGGGGAAAAAATCCAAATTATTAGCAACAAAACTGCATTTAAAAGAAATTGAACAGACAACCCACCACAAAGCATCTCACTTTAGGACACAGAGGCTTATTGGAATTTAGAGCATAGCAAACACTTATATCATGATCGCCTCACAATGAGGATCAATCAGATAAGCAGTCAAAGACCAGTTGGCTCCGAATCCAATCTAAAATTTCTTTATATGGCTTAAACCCCCAAGACTTTTGGAATTTTTCCACATTGCCATGACAACTGGGGCAGTTTCCCTTCCCTTCTATCGCAGTAGTTCAACATTCAGCATGTATCGTTAGCATTTTAGTTTCCCATTTACCCTAACCCCAGCTCTCCACATCCTGTAAAACAAAGAACCAAGGGTGTGGAGAAAGGCAATCCACACACTGAAACATACTTGCAGGTTACAATTTCAATGGACAGAATAATATTGCAATCCTTTCGGGCTCTTCAGGCCTTACAAATATCCTTGGCCAGAAAGCACACGTCAGTACTTTCATCAAAGAGCTGGGGTCTATATTATTATTTTTCTCACAACACCAATGGGACAAGCGCCAGCCAGAACTGCTCAAATGCGAAGCAGTACAGAAAAATTGGACTAGCTGTAGGATTTCCTTCAACTCTTTTTTTATTTCTCAGCAATAAGTTACCGTTGCTCTTTTCCTGAGTAAAGTTTGTGAATTGATCTTTTTACACTTAGTTAATTACTGAGTCAACTATGCATATGTATTTTCCAGTTAAGGAATAGCTTAGAATCCTGGGCGCGTATCCCCCCATACAGACACATTTCAAATCTGCCCAATAGATTACTCACCTCTCTTTCGAGAGAAAGATCTCCTGTAAAATGCCTTTCTCGCGCTCCGCTTGAGTGAATTTCTCCTGACTCCCACTTCCTGGCTGAACCAGTGGAGCAGGCAAATCAATAGGCTTTGGGTAGACCCAGGGGACCTTCTCTTCCATCGCATCATGGCTCAATCGACGGGCTGTCTCAAAGGCATGGCGATCCAACATTATTTCTCGCTTGGCAGCCTCACCGAAGTCCTTGATCTTATTTACATTGACTGTAGAAGATTGAAAAGAAATGGTATTCAGCATTTTATTTATTTATTTGTTCATTCAGTCATTTAATCCAGCCGCCAATCTTATTTGCACGTGACTCTGGGAGCTGTACAGAATTAAAACACAACAATGAAAACCTTGAACCATTAAAACTCATTAAAACAGTTAAAAGCTATGGTTAAAAAATACAATAATGAAAAGACGGGAAAATAAGTTTAACCCATGCACAGCACAACCATTTAACAGGCTTCGTGCTTCTGTAAGACTTAATAAAGTTCCATGGAACTTAATAAATGCCTACGATTAGCTAATGGACAAAACCTTCTATGACCACAAATGCTTTAAATATTTTAAATATAGAAGCAGTGAAGAAGCATATATTTCTGTACAAACACAGAAATGTATAACTTTGTTAAGTATACAAGTAAACTTTTAAAGCTGAAAAATCTTAAAAAGTGAAGCACTGGGATATATGCGTCTTCCTGTAAAAGTGATGTTTTGTGAGAAACAACATCCATTATAGTAGCCATTTTAGGAAGTAATCCAAAATATTGTTTAATTATCTGAATGTACCCAAAGTGGGAGATTTCAATTCCTTATCTTATTCCTCTCACTTTGATTACGATATTTTAAAGATCTTTGCCATCAACTTTTTTTTCTCAACATAGGAAACACCTCTGAGAACAGCCAAACTTAAATGACAGGCCTTTGATCAATTTGTCATAGGCCTCATATTTCTATGTTAGCTTCAGAAGCATATAAACTATTACAATAAATAACTTTACAGCTATGAGGGGGATCATGATGAAAGTAAATGGGGGTCATGAACCAATCGAAAGTCCCTTGGCTCTAGACAGACGACAGGCACAACTATGTTCTGTGAGGCTCTTTGCAATGCTATTTTTTGGAAGAGGGAAAAAAAAACGCCCACCTCTTTCTGTCTCGTCCAATTCAAAGTAGAAATACTCCCGCAGTTTATTCTCCTCAGGCCAGCTCACTGTTTTCTTTTTTTTCCCCTTCTTTGTCAACTGGGTTGAATCAGCTGGGCTCTCCGTCGACTTTGAATCCAACAAACCTCCATGCTCAGAGGAATCTGAAAAAGAACCCACCCATTCAGCAATAACGCTTTAAAGCATGCTACGTGCATCAAGTACTGGAATAGCGAAAGACAGAAAACCCATCATCACTCAGAGCATTTTAGGCTGTCATGGCAGTCCAGTTACCACTTGCATAAATGAGCACCAGTGACCGGCGGGTTAATTACTTAGTAAAAGTTTGCTAGCCCAGGCAAGTAAGGTGGGAAAGGTATCACACTACAGATACCAGCACATCTTGTAACGCTGAAGGCATTATTCTCCCCTCACTTACTTGTCTCCATAGGTTCAGGCACCTCTACAGCCGGCACAGGGGTACCAGGTCGATCCACATCCATGGGTTCCGAAGCCGGGTTCAGCTCTGGTGAAGATGGCTTGGCAGCAGCGGTTTCTGGAACTGGCTTCCCTTCAAAAGGACTTGGCTGTGAACCGTGAGAAACAAAGCAAATTTAGTTGATTTCTAAATTTAAAGCCACCTCCGTAAAAAGGAGGATTGCTGGCTCTGCATGTTTCTTACCTTAGCTGCAGTTGGAGACAGGACTTTCTTTTTCTTTTTAATCTTGATTTCTGGGACAGGGGCAGAGTTTAGGGCATCCAAGAAGCCTAATCCTTCCATAGCTGGAGAGTAAATTGAGAAGGTGTTAAGAATCATTCTGTACTAAAAGTTTCCTAATGATACGAACAGCCTTCCTTTCCTTCTCTCCTGAGCCACTACCACTGGACTGATGTCCCAGTGTGGCCTTCCCAGTCCCTCCTCAGTCAGTGCCACCGACATTCTCAGCTTTTACCCACTCTTGCTCCCAACCATCACCCAAAATCACTTCTGTGTAAAAAAAACAACTATGTTTTTACTCTACACTGAAACAAAATGGCCCTGTTTTGCCTATCGATCAAACATATCCAAGGTGCACAATCTGAGCGTAAAATTGTTCAAAACCCGGCTAATATGCATGGAACATTTTGTGCACTGAGTATTTGCACAATCCTATTCAACACGAAAAGATTTCAGCTGGGGAAACGCCACAATTAACTAACAGCGCAAGATCAAAACACTGGACTTCTGTTCTCACTGCTTTTAACCTAGCCCATGTGGCTCCTTAACTCCATGGCTATGAAAAAGGAGAAAGCCTTACGCTGTGCGGGGATGATCTTCACTTTAATTTCCTTGGTAGCATTGGGTGTGGTGTTGAGGGGTTTGTATTTCTTCTCAACAGGTGGGTTGTCTCCCACTGGGTTTGATATACTATGGAAAAAAAACAGTCCTCAAGTCACTCAAAAGAGAAGACACTGAATAATTCACAGGGTTGATAATGTCTTTCATGTCAAACAGATTCTCACTTCCAGGTAAATATTTGATCTAACTCTTTAACCAAAAATAAATACCAATGCAGAAGAAAAAGCAGTTGCTTCATTGTATGCCATTTTGTGAATATGTTGCTTTTTTCCCCTGTACCTGTCCTCTACTCCTTTGATCTATTCTAAGCCTATCTAAAGCTCTACAGGTCTCTCTGGGTGCAACCAAGACAGACCAAATATTCTCCACTGTTGTGGGGGATGATGGAATATTTGGAATTTTAAGAGCGTGTCATGGGATGGTTTGGAAACAGCTTGTTTATTTGTATCAAGTCTAGCTCAAATGATAAAACACAAAGTAACCTAACTGGTATTCTCCCTGCAATTTATTTCTGTTTTCTTTTTAAAACTGGGATTAATTTTCAAGCACTGCCTAAATATTTAAATGTTTAGATTCAGTTATAACTTTTAAATTAGATTCTTTAATTGTTTGAATACCAAAGTAATTGCATTCCAGTTCATATATTAACTGGAGAATATCAAGTATTTATAAAAATGCAAACTGAACAAACTCTAAGGGTCCTTTGTGTTCTCTGAATTTAGTTGTTTTCTTGTAAATGTTTCACTAACCTAACTAGGATGCACACTAGTTTCAGTAATGAAATGTTTGGAAGAAAACCACCAAGCTCAGAGAACACCAATGTTCTCCTTTATCGGTGAACAAACTTTCCCAAACTTCTAGTCTGCAAATACTACATTTTTTTTGTTATGCCCAAGAAGCAAGAATCTTCTTCCCACTAACGTAACCATCAATTTTGGGTTACAAACTAAAAAGGTGCAGGCTTACATCATTTGAACAATTACATTATCAGATTCAGTCCCACATAAGGGAAAATATTATTTTTTTCCCTTTAAGATCATATTACTTACATGTGTCTTTTCAGTGGTATTGGCTTGAAACTGTATTTATCAGGGGCTACCTCAGTATTTATGTTCTTTTTCACAGGAATGAGTGATGGTGTTTCCATTTCCAAACCTACAAGCAAGCAGCAACAGAATAATTTAAAAATCCCAGAACGTTCTATGAGCATGGATTGAGCTGTTTGCCCAAAACTAATGAAATTCTAGCTAGGCTACATTAAAATAATTCTAACCTAATTGTACGGCCCTTAACAATTCTAATTGCACTTACCTGTGGAACGAAATTTGGCATGGCTAGGTGCTGTGGTGCGGAGAGATTTTGGTTTTTCTTTCTTCTTTTCAGGAGCCTCCTCAGGCTTCACTTCTGATTTGGTTTCCTGAGGTTTCTCCTGTACAGAGGGTACTTTGCTTCTGTTTTCTTCCTTTCGTTTTTTCTTTTCTCGCTCTACAAAGAACAAATGAAGCCAGCGGCTTAGAAGGGCTAACGGATTAATGTTTAGTAGCCTTTCTGAAAAGCACCCCTTTTACAACATAACATCCGATCACATTTTTTGCCTTACAGAGATATTTTTAAAAGTCTGAACATTACAACGTCTGACAATACATATTTCTTGGCCTTTTTGCTGAGTTCAAATGTAAAAAAAATGTAAGCAATGCACTGGGGAGACAGCTTATGAGTTAATAGGGAATGTTTAAAATATTCTCTTTCTCTCATCTGATTGTCTCCTAAATAGCGTCTCTTTCCCTCATCCCCAAGGTTATCCACCCCTTCCATTACACCTGGAATGCAAAGTAGATGATACACTTTAAGCAACACAGCAGTCCCACATATTACTATAGTAAGAGTCTGATTTCACTACAATAAAGCTTTCAGTGTCCATGCTTATGTGGAAATACAAAGCTACTAACCTGTTGGTTGGGAGCTGCTCTGAGAGCGGATCACACCCATCCAGTCGCTCACCAGTATGGAAGCCAGTCGACGAAGTTCTAATAAGAAACGAATGTATAAATCCATTAATTTAAAAAAAATATTTCAAACATGACCCTACAAATCCAGAATGGTGTCCAGTATCAGAGATCTATGGTCAAGTGACAATTACCTTCATCGTCACTTGTTTTGCTGAGCTGCTTCACCAACTTGGCAGTATTGTTCTGGAAAAAAAGGGAAAGGAAGGAACCGTCTGTTACACGACTGTTACAAACTACAGTGGGTAGCATTGCAGACTATCACCCCTGAAATTGGGAATATTGTTTTGAGTGCTGAAATATATGAACCTGAAGAAAAGTTAAAACCCCACACAGTCCTCTTCCTTCCCTCCCAATTTGGGGAAAAACATTTTTTTTTTGCTTTGATCTTGGAAAGGTCAAATTAAAAGGATAACTTCCACTATTGTGCAATTAACTAACTTGTTTCAGATGATCCACAGTCAAAGGTAAGTGTTGGAGTGTGAGTAGAATCTGCTGGAGAAGGGGTACATTACTGGATGCTTTTGAGCTTGTTAGCCACGTGTTAAGGAGCTTGTAGCCACCAACTTTGATGAATCTGTAGAATGAGGAGTCAAAGTTGTGGTTTGTAGGTAGAATGATATTATAGCTTGCTTAAACGTAGGTTGTAGAATAACTACAAGTAGCTGGATACACACTTTTAAATCAAGCAAAAATCACATTACTTGTAATGGCTGCAAAGAATATGTGCACTGTATGCACACTCACACAGTTAAATTTTATACTTTATCTTTTATTTGTTTCATAATAATAAAGCATATTATTAGAATTTCCAGAAATACAGAATTAAAACAAGCATTATGTCTTCCTCCCTCACTATCATCACTGCTCCCATCTACACTCACATTTATACTCTTTCATTCCATTTCATTAATTAATTACCAATGTATTGGAATCTGACTGAAAGCAGATCAAGGTGAACAGTGGTAGAGAAAAATGCCTCCAAATAATAAAAGCCATGGGATCAAATTAAAATAAAATAGAACTTAATGGTAGTTAGCAGAATTCATTAATAAAAACCCCACTTGCTTTTTTAACACACTGAACATCTTGCTTTTGAAACTAGCAGACCTAACTTCATTCCCCACAAACATTCAGCAGAACTTACTTTGAGAGGATATCTTGTGCTCGGGTCTGCAACAGAATGTTCAAGTAGATGCAACGACTGACCATCTTCTGTGCATCTTTCATTAAACTGAAATGCAAAAAAAAGCAAAAAATGGAAACTTTCAATTTGGTCTCAGGTAAAATGGTCTGCCGAGTATGTAAAAGTCAGTTAAGATTGGGAGAAATAGTTGGGGGAAAAGAAATTAATCCACTCAATTACTCCATTCTTGAACACCACGTGTAACGTAACTGTAAGAAATTGCAAAATGCTGACAAACTTTCTTTTTTAAAAAAATGGATCAATACCCTTTTATAATTTTCCACCTAAGTAGCCTTATTCAATTCATATCAGTACAAATAAAAATAAAACTTGGTCTCACAAAGTATGAATGAAGCATATTTCAGTATGCCAATATTTTGCAGTTACAGGCCATTAACACTTACTTAAAAATTTTAGTGATGCCTTCATGACTTTTGACTTCTCCATCTTTGCCAAGAAAACAATCCAATCCCTTGAGGAGCTCTTTTGGATCTATGGGTCTAGAACCCATGTTTGCAAATTCTGTCAAAAACAGGAGAGATGATATTAAATTCTATTTTGGAAGGATAAAAAAAAAAATCAACAAAACTTTAAAAACATTTTAAAAATAAAATTTCCAAAAGTTAACAAGATTTTGTCATTGTAGCATAGCAAACAAAATGCAAAAATGCATGGGAAAAAGTCACTCACTAGGTGCAAAGTATTATCATGTATCTTCTAATCAGCAAGTCCTTTGGATTCAAATTCAAATCTTTATTGTCAAAGTACAACATGCGTACAATGAGATTGGCTGAGCCTCCCATTGTGAGGATTCTTGAAGTTTTGGGGATCAATATTTCACTTTTAACATCTATGACTACTTTGATAAAGAACAAACAAAAAGCCCCACTCCCTCTTGTAAATTGATGTTCATTTGGCCTTAAAACTACAAAGCCCATTTCTAAAATATGCAAAATACACAAGCATTGTATTGGCTCAACTAAAATCAAATAAGTCTATTTATCTAAAGCCCACAGCACCTTATTCAGTCCAAATTCTGGAGCATTGCCCCATCTGCCTTATTTTCCAAATAGGATAGTTTCTCCTGTCCCCAGAACTGCCATTTGTGTCTTCAGCTTAAAAAAGCCAGCCCAAGATAGATAACTGATATGGGTTTCTCAGTACAAATTTATTCACGAAGTCTCACTGAATTCAATTTAATTTATTCCCTGCTAAAGTATCCAATGCTCTTCTTAAGATCAGAATATAATTATTGATGGTAGTATTTACCCACACTATTTGTTTTGTAGCACGACTATCACATAGAAATACCAGCCCAAAACACGTTACTACAAGTGTATTACAAATGATGAAATGAGTTTCATCTCGTAAACTTCGTAATTTATGGGTTTGTCTGACATTTAATTGATCAAGCATAGCAAAAAAATTATTAGGTTACTACCCTATACTGGTAGCCTCTATAAAACTCATTTCTCTTGGATTCACATAGTACTTGCTGAGTGCCAATAGAAATTCTAATGAAAAGTATTTCAAGCACTTGATATACATGGTATATCATTTGCCCTCAGGTCTTAGTGCAGTGGGAATCAATTAGCTTATCTGCAAATTATAGCCAACTGCTCATCTTAATCACAGGGTGTTGTTTGTGCTGAGAAAAGCTGTTTAATAGCTGTGCGAGATTGTTATGTACTTCAGAAACCTGCTACAATTCTTTGATAAAGAGCTGTTCGAAAGACAAACCATCAAAGATGGTATCAAAATGTGTAGTGTTTTATGTACTTCTTTTACCTTTTGTTGTTAGAGCTTCATATATTTAAGTAACAGAATTTTAAATTTGTAAAATTATGTGAGAAATTTATCTGCTCCAATAACATTTGGGCCACACATGGCTGACAGCTACTCAAAATCATTGGCCCTTAAACTTCTAAATATACTTTAAAACAGCAAATTCCTGATGTGGTTCATCCAAAATCTTTTAAGGAGTGAACACACTGGCCTTTCAGTTTATTATGCTGTGTAAGGCCTGTGGTACACATTTATAAATTTCATGGTAAATGAATTATCACCCCATTGGACTAAAGGTGTACTTGTTGAAATTATGGGACCCTGTAGTTTTAACCATCTTCATTCTATCTACTGGATGTGGACATGTTCGGTAATGGGCTTGCAATTGTATGACTGGGCTTCCAATTGCAAACTGCAATTTAGAAGTAGACAGCATAACCAGGTGCATCCAGTTAAGTTCTTGCAAGTTCGATGCCGTGAAAACTGTTCATCTTAAAGAAATGGTATTTGCCCAGCAATATTCAATTTTGAATATAAATTGAAGTACAATAAATGTACTTTAATGAAATAATCTATTGTTTTATGTCATCTTGCACCAAGCACTTTTGCAAAATTAAGTATGCTAAGTTTTGGCCTTCCCCATTAATATACCAAATATTTAAAAAAAAAACTTTCTACAGCATTAAATAACTGCATCTGTGGTAGAAGAAATGGAGCAATCTTCGTTTTTCACAGAAAGCACATCTTCAGTTCTTTTAGTATTAGCAAATTGGACTAAACAGTTATCCTACTTTTCCAAAGCCATGTTAGATTTAGGTGTGTAGAAATTATTTTCCCTTAACACAGGAGGGGCCAGGTCCAAGTGTACTCCTATGTTTTGAATATAGTAATTTTAAAAAGTCCATGGCCAGAAGAAATCAATATCCAGTTGTATTTTCATATGGAGGAAAATATTATCCAGGTACAGATGAGAGTGGAGTGGGACTGTAAAGTTGTTACCAGCCTGTGGTGACTTGTAGAGTCCTTGTGTGGCTTCAATCCAGTTCTGAAGAATTGCTACTGAAGGTCTGTATGAGTTCACCCAGTAATGGAAAGACCAAATGAGGTGGACTTTGGAGACTGAACTCCCCTTTCACCCCACAACATGGCCTTCCATATGCAAGACAGCAATACATTGTTGAGGAAAACTTGCACTGATGAAACTTGGGCTCAGCCTGCTTTGGTGAAGAGGACCTCAGTCTCCAGAGCTGTCATTCTGGTACTTTTTCAGCACTACAACTCCAGGAGAGAATTAAAAATACAAATGTTACTTATAATTTATGCCATTTCAGTTTCTAAACCCCATCTGTAGTGGTTTTGCCAATAGTACTTTGACACATACTCCAGTAACCAGGGGAAAGCATTCTTTTCATTCATTGTCCTTGATCACGATTGCCTGATTAAAGACTTGAAGTCCTGACTGCTAACTGAAGTTTTGTTAGTTGCAAACCACATTTTAAAAACATTATTATGTAATGATGTTGTAATTTTATTTTTTGAGATAGAACAAGGTAGGCTTTCATATTTCTGCTCCATTTGACATTAACGATTCAGGCTCTGCAGCTCTATAACGGAAGTCATTCTGAGTGATGGGTGCATTACTGATCATGTGAGATTCCAGGCTGTTCTAAACTTAACCTTCCTTAGCTAACAGATTATGATTATGCTACTACAAAAGTTATATCTTTATGAATAGTAAGGAACTCCTACATAATTTGAGAACTTTACATTATAAACCAATATTTTTTTTAAAGCCAAACTGAAGAAATCAGTATGGCCACCATTTTGAATTTAATCAAGTTTTACAGGATAAAGTTTCACTTTTAAGAAAACAAAGAATCAGCAGCACCCGAAGACTAATAAATAAGGCACATATGCTTTCAGATAGTATTGGACACGTAGCAAGGATATATTCAAGAATGTTTTTAGTTTCCTGTCTTTTTAAAAGCAATGTTTTAAAGCAAGTGGCCCACAATGTATCAACTAATTCAAAACTAATTTGTTTCACCAATGTTCATCCCCAAGCAAGAGCTTCTAAAATTCTGAGTTCATTTCTTCCCCTGTGTATAAACGAAAGTAAAACATTTTAATTGAAGTAATATGTAATCTTCTCACAAAAGGTTTCTGCCTGATGAAAATTTAAGATTCTGAAAACCAAAATTTCACTTAAGAGTTTGGCTTAGTTTTTGAGAAACCAAATCTTAAACTTTTGTTATCAAGATTTCTGAAGGAATTAAAGGCAATTTAACAAAAAGAACTATACTTTGAAAATGTTACTATGTAATTTCTTTGGCAACTATACATAAAAAAATAAGTAAAATGAGTTGCAATATAAGAGCATTAGGCCAGACACCATTTCAGTAAAACTGCTCATTCTTTCAACCAAATGTTACTTTAATCTTGGTCCCTATTTCAAGTGTGTCAAGATTAGATTTTAATTTGAGGAACTCAGCTGCCATTTTTAAGCTTACACACACACACACACACACACACATGGTATTCAGTAAGTACCCGCGAAAACTTAAGAAAACACACACACACATATATATATATGGTATTCAGCTTTGTTTGGGTATTTTCCCACATCATTATAGTTGTGCTTTTGAAGTTGTAGCAATGTTTCGGAAGAATCTCATCTGCCATCATCAGGCTTCTGCCATCAAACCTGATGATGGCAGATGAGATTCTGCCGAAACGTTGCTACAACTTTAAAAGCACAACTATGACGTGGGAAAATACCCGAACAAAGCTGAATACCATACATGTAAGTACCCACGAAAACTAAGGAGAATATATATGAATATATGAAAATATATATATAAGATTAAACTATGGCAGTTGATTTGAATTGTAAAATTATTAACTATTAAAATCTCAATTTTAAATCATGTTCTAAAACTATAAAGCTATGAAAAAAGTATTGTTTTAAAATACACTAATCAAATTAGGTTGATTAGTATATTAGCAGCAAATAATACTTTTTTTTCCGCAACCAATTCTATTTTTAGCACATCTCTATTAATTTGTTCAAAGTAGTTATCAAGTCTGAACACAAGTTTCATTCGATTTATCAAGTTTCAGAAACACTCTGAAAACATGCTTTCTTATAACTAAAGCCAATTAGTAACTGTATATATTCACTTAGAAGCACCTCTCACACTAAATCTGCTTTCAAGTACAAACTGAGAGCAACTTACAATAAACTGAACAAAATTAAAATTCAAGAATTACCAGCTGTTTTGAAAATAATCCAAACTTGGAAGGTTAAGTTAAAAGCAATATATACATTAGAGTAAGTAGTTTTCTAATGTAACTTGTAGTACCATCTAAATTAGACATTTATTTGTTCATCATAATTGCAATTTGGAACTGGGCTTTCTATGAAGTTCAGTGCCTGTTAACATGTGATTAATTGATAATGTTCATAATTACACTCATGCTATTTTATCTCACATCTGAAATGTGACTGGATTAAAAAAAAATTTTTTTCCCTCAAACCTGAAACTGCTGACGTTGACATTAAAACAAACACTGTGTTTTGTTAATAATTCTGCATTTAGCTAAATCTCAAGTAAAATATATGTAAGTCACTCATTGTTGGGGGGGGAAGAGCTTGAGATATTAAGGTTTCCATTCTATTTCCTAATAATTAAACTTTACAACTTCTGTGTCTGTCATCCTGTTTTTATTAGTTTAGACATGGATGTGAAAAAAATCTACAAGAACATGTAACAAGCTTTACACAGCAGCCTCTAATCCTAAATGTACATATAAGAAAAAGTAAATGGTTCTCATTCCAATTTTAAATTTCATTTTAATAATGTATATGGAACTAATTTTATTATGAAGCACGTCAACATGACTGAGCTAACAAGCATCTAACAAATTTTAGATACATTCTCCTTGTATCCTAAACTCCAAATGGATTCCAAATGCTTCATATTCAGTATGCTTAAAATTAAAGGAAACTTTACTATTTCATGACATTAATTTGATAAATGCTCTACAAATAAGAAATTCATTCTCACAGAGACACTTGTTAAATTACAAATTTCTTAGTTCATAGCCATAGTTCAGCACAGAAATTCATCTGAACAAATTTCTAGTCAAGTGACAAGTCTTTAAATGTTTCTCTAACCCAGTTTTAGAAGCTACACGTTAATTTGAAATTTTTGGTGTCTTGTTCTTAGTATTTAATACTATGTCTACATTTTATACCCAGACCTGGTGAATTAATATGGTAGACAGAGTTCATAAGGTTAAATAAGTTACTTGATCATATAGGAGTCTCAACGGAATAAAAAATAGTACTTTCATCTTTCCAAAGATCAACCTTCACAAAGGAGTTGGGCAAATACTAAATATTTAGTGTTACCATCACTCTTATTATCAGACAACTGCAGAGTAACTTTATATCAAAATGCAGATACTGCAATTTTTGTACATTGTACAACACAACTAAATAGTTATCTATGACTAATAATGTCTAAAAAACGTAATTTGATAGGAATTGTAATGTGAGGGATGTCCAGCATATCCCACCAAGATATTCCCATGAAAAAGTTAACAAAAAGCCGGTTGTTAACTGTTGTCAGACGCAAGCCAGTCAGGTCCTCGCCATTATACTCTTTTGGTTATCATGAAAAAAAATTTCCAGACAGCTTTCCAAGAATCTCAGAGCTTGGATTTGCTAGAATAAAAACAAGTTAAGTTCTCGAAGTCTGGATGAAAAACAGAAACGTGAAGGACATTGAAGGGGAGGAGAGGCAAGATACAGGTACTAGAAACAAACATTATCTGTTGCATTTCCTTCTCCAAAATACTCCAATTCATCTGAAAACTAATTACCCAGGATTTACTCCGCAGAATCATTCATTTTATACCCAGAGACTAGTATCGATTTTAATCCAAGATACTTTTATCTTCTACAATTCTATTAATTTGTTAGCAAAGTGCTTTAAAATGTGTTCCCAAGGGAATTACTAGTTACAATTCCTGTTGGTTTACTAGCTATAACAAGTACATATCATTACTGTACCATGCTAAAAGCCCCAACTCCAAGAATGTCACATCAATCCATCAGTTATAGACATATTTACTGTAGACATACAGCAAATAAATCAATTCCATTTAAAGTCAGAATTTCTGGATTGACCAGCTACTTTCATTTTCAACTATAAAACTGAGCTAGTATTGAAACAGTCTAAGTATATTCTGTGTTAAGGGACTAGATGAGCCATTTGAGCCTTATAATAGTCTTTGAATCAGTAATCTTTAAAATACATCCATCTTCAGGCATACAAAGCATATCCTTTTAAGAATCAGTTTAGGGAGGAAACCAGCAATACTCTTATGCTGCTGAACACCAAGAATTCATTAAATTGGACATACATTTGAAGTAGTCTTAAGTGGATTCATTTAGGGTTCAGTTTCCATCTAAATTATACTTACATGGAAATTAGCACCAGAGAAATTTCCAGTAAGTATGTTCAGGAGTGAAGGTTATTCTTTGTCCATATAAAATGAGTATTTTTTCCTAAGAGATACCTCTCCATTTACTTAGTGCTCAGTAAGTAGGGGAATATATTGCCATGTTGAACTATAATCAAATTTATGCTCAAATTCTAGTTCAATCACGATTTCCTTTAGTAGATGTTTAAAAAAGACCAACTTTGTCTTATATAAAAAGAGCAAAGTAAACAGGACTGGCTTTCCACATGTTTTTACATCACAAAAGGAATTTTACCCAGGTAGTTCAGTGTTATGACATGTCATTGCCTCATCTATCTGACATAATAATGTAGCTCAATATCTGATACAGGAGCTAAGCCACAACAGTAAAGGCTGGAATCTGTGGCAGCACAATTCTGTTGAAACTATAGCTTGATCTTCCAGAATTAACATTTAAGAATCCCAAACAAACCAAGATTCTAAAAGCATTGTTTCTTATCCATATAAGGGAATCCTCTAAATAATGGATTTGGGGGAAAGCTTTGCATTTCCCTATGTATCTTTTAATTTCCTGCCAAGCTGCTGTGCTGTTATTCAAACCAATAATTGTGTAAAAATGGAATCCTGAATAGCTCATTTCATAATGCAAACATTATTTATCTGTTAGCCCTCAAGACTATGTATGACAGTATTAAGCCTTGCCCTATTTTGCTGTAATTTACAGTTCCCAATTCTCTTGTGGGCAATTCTTCTTCGGAGACAAGAACTTCATATTCAAGTGTTTTGAATACACATGTGAATTTTACTCAAAACACTTGAAGGGGAACTATTATTTTCTGTCAAGTTTCCACTCAATGCTTCCTTATGAAGCAGCTTACAATTCCCCCACCCCATTAAATTGACTGTATCGCACAAAGCACCTTGAGATCTCATGATGTGCACCAATTACAAAATTTTATAGCCAGAACAGCGTCACCGATTAAAAAGGGGGGAACGGGATGTTTCCATATGAAATGCTACCACCGGAGGCACAGATGGAGACATTAATTTCAGCTTTGTGAAATATTCCCCAGTATTAAATAATTACTTAAAATGAGGAAAAATCACAAACGTAGCATTCCTTAAATGCTATCTTGATGCTCATGCAGATCCCATTTATGAAAACTTTTACGGAATTAACCAAGCTGGGAGGGAGTAATTTGAGCAGCCTCAATAGATTGGCAAACATTTAAAACCCATTACAGCCTGCATGCATCAGTAGGAGTCACTTCATGATGGTGACATGGAAGAGAACAGCAGCAAAATAAATGAATAAAAACCAAAGTGGTCTGGAACAGAAATGAAGGTTGTGAAATGTAATTAATACCATAAAGATTTTGCTTACCAGGTGGAATTGTGGCTGTTCCCCTCCCTTTCGTGAGGTAATACAAGTAGCTGGATTCCCATTTTTTCCTAAAGAGCACTTCTTTCCTAGTACATTGTACAGGAACGGTGGAATGTGGCAAATTAATACAAGACACCCCCCCCATTCCCTTTGTGTACATATGGCCAAAGAAAATGAAAATACAACACCCCTCCCCCCTTTTTTTGTAGTTCCAGCAAGTGTCAATGACACTAAATATTTGGGATCCAGTGGTAGCATTTCATCTTAACAGTTAAATTTGACAAAAAGTAGAAAACATGCTTCCCTGACCCATATCCCATTTCAAAGATCTCAAGATGAAGAAGGGGAAGACAAAAAAGGTTGTTGGTCTATCACAAATATAGCTACGTAATAAATTTGTCACAAAACAAATATCACAAACATGTATGTATCACAAAAACCCAAAGTTCTCATGTGATGTCGAAACCTTAAAAAAAACTCCGTGGATTTATGATAATACTTTGCACTTCTAGTAAGCTGCACCTAGAGATTTCCCAAAGATGAAGCAGTAGCGGAAGTTTGTTAAATCATTTTGGAAAAGTGACAAAACGGTTAGCCAGTTCTGCCCTCCCCAACTGCTTGCTCTGGGCGCCAAACATAAGGAAGTGAAGGGGAGGAGCTAGCTACAAGCTGCTTACATCAGCTCTTGAAAGCCTCGTGCGTTCTTGTATAGGAGAGAAGGCTCCGCCATTTTAGAAGCATAGGCGATTAAGGAAATAAAAGCCTTCAGAATCTATTGAGGAAACTATATAGCAATACAACCCGATCACATGCACAAATTCTATCATTTTATATCAGTTCTACCAATTAGAACCTATTTAACACAGTTCAAGAAAGGGGATCCCTTGTTTGGTTGAGTGCCGGAGACTCAAGAACCTCTTTCACCAGCCCCCTCCTGTTTTTTCAGTAGATGAAGTAGACAAAATAAAAATGGAAACATCCTGTAAAGGAAAATCATAATGCTGCTCGCCAGGGACAGAAAGATTAAAAATAAACTCTGCCATACTGCAGCAAGGGGAATTGAGAAAAATAGATGAAAACATTTTAAAAGCAAATTAAGATCTCATTTGAATTAAATTGGTTTCTATTTTTCTATTACAGTTCTTTTAAAAAAGTATCAAGTTTAAAATGACTTTCCAAACTCATTTTGCAATCTTTATTTCTAGATTGCTTTTTCATATTACAAGCCTACATACACAATAGAAAACCTTAACGCTTTAAAAAAACACAAACCCCTTAATAGATATTAGAAATATAGGTGCTGACACAAACCCATCCTTTTAAAAAAATGACTCCATCTGGCTGTTATTGCTTTCTTTGTCCCCACTCTTGCCCTGCAATCTTTATGTACAGATTGCTTATTTAATTCAAGCACTTCTTGTCTCCCACACAAAGAAGCAGCACTTTATAGTTCAGTCACCACCATCTGTTATGTGGGAGCTCATTAACCCTTGACAGTCCTGGAGACGATGGATTTTCTAAGAGACCAACGTGCTCCTTATACATTTTTGGTGGCAAAATGCCTGCGTCTTAAGGGTTAACACCTCAAACAAAACCCACTTTCCCACAATTTTTTTGGTCTTTTTCTTCGTGCCATTAGCTCACTTCGACACGGATGAATTTTTTTTTTTTGGTCAGCTGGTTGAAAATGCGACACTTACTATCCAATTAATTTTCTCGTCGACAGCGCCTCAAGGTTTAGCTTTTTTGGATAAAGCTGTGTTTTTAAAGAAAAAAAATGAATTTGGCTTTGCTCATTTTAAAAAAAAAAAGCAACCTTTTGCAATAAAAAGTTGCTTGATTAAAAAAAAAGCATCAGGGAAAGTTGTTGCTAAATATTAATTTTGGTTTTTATGTTTTTAGTGGCAGTTGTTCTCCTTCAGATCATAAAGAATTTTAACAGCTTCCCAATACAGACGATCAGAAATGTAGATGGCTTTTTTGTGTCGTCTCAGAGGCTCAACTGTGGGGCAATTTTTCTTTGTTTCACGATGTTCAACGGTGTCTCAAGATCAAAGGAAACCTATAAAATGAAGAAATAATTACCATTAATTTCCAAAAAAATTTAACTTTTAAAAGCAGATAAAACATAGCATTTGGCCACAAATTACGTTTCTATCGGGTTCAAAGAACCAGAAGAGAGGAAATAATTTATCGGATGCTAATTTAAGATTTTGACGGCTCATTTTTGAATGGCTTGGAGATTTTTTTTGTTTGTTAGGGAGAAATGAGTTTAAGGCTTCCTTGAAGGTTCAAATTACCTTCATTATAGCCTAAGGAAAGAATTAGGATTTGCAAATGTCAATAACACTATATTGGGGGGGAAGGAAGACAGGAAATCAAATTATCAGACCGTAATGCCCTTTTGTCCCCCTCCCAAGCCGCTCCCATAATAACGTTGCCAGAAACACAGTACTCACCTTTAAACAGACCCCAGAATGGCCGATGGGAGCGCGCGCGGAGCCTTTTATATGGCGGCACTCCCTCCGCTCAACGCCTCCTCCCACCGTCGTGCGCGGCGTCCAAAGAACAAAGCCTTGGCTGCCTGCCCCGCCCAACTGGGCCTCCCGTTTGCCTAAATACAGGATAAAATTTATATCGACGCACACGGTTCGAATTCAATTTTGAAAAGCAGTTCAACGGTCTGCTAAAAATTAAAAAATAACCTGGATTAAGCTCGTGACGCAGTTAGGAAATCAGGAACGCGCATGCGCAAGCGGGTGCCAAGGCTTGCTGCGTAAACTTGCGTGCACGCGCGCGGCCACGGGTTTTCCCCGGCCCGTGGAGGCTGGGAACCAGACAGCGTGATAATCTCCGGAACTGGGCATGCGCGTAGTTTGAACGCCTGAACGCGGAGCCTCCTCCCGAGAGTTAAACAATTGTGCTCATGCGCAGTAAGGACCCAACGCCGCTGGCTTTGTTGGCTTCCGGTGGGAGGTTTATTGTAGGAGAGGGAAGGGCAATTGGGGCGAATCGACCGTGACAAAACATACCGAAGCAAAAAAATAGAAATCTTTTTAAAATTTGTGGAGAGGTTTGTTTGCAGTACATGTGTGATCGCTTCTCCTGGAATTAGCTGGAGATAATAGCTAACTAAAATGACCTGTCCTTGAAATCAGGGCGGGAGGAAATGCCCGAGGCTTGCTCAAGGTGATCTTGGGGGGCGGGGGAGTGCAAAGGCGCATGCGCAAAGGTATTTGTACACCGCGCAAGATGGCGGCCCCCAGTCAAGCCATGTTGCTGTGTGGGAACATGGCCTCTTTAGCCTCCCGTGTGGCTTTTAATAGGTCTTGTGGGCTACGGGTAAGAGGACGCTTGTGTTTTTCAATAGATTATTATATGGTAGATTAACTTTTTTAAAAAGCAGCCTAGTTGTTTTTTCCAAAAAATCCACGGTGACTTTTTATTTTGCATTATCGCTAGTTTAACCAGAGGATTTAGCCATCCTTATCTCCTAATATAAATTATATGAAGGGTTCTCTAAACATTACTCGTGAGATAGTAAATATAGACCTGTATATCTCGCATAACGGTTTAGTTATAGGATTCCCCAAGGTGATTAATATGGACCATCAAGGGTCGACGTTGTTATTCCTAGTTATTAAGCACGTTAATAAGCTATTAAAGTAGCAATTTGGCTGCTATTAAAGTAGCATTCAATTATTTTCAGATCATAAATATTTAGAGGGCCGATGAATAGTCTGAAACTTCAGGAAGGGATCAATGAGCTGAAGAGTTTGGAGGATCCCCGTTTATTTATTTTTATTTTATTTGGTTTGTCAATTGCTTACAAGATAATAAGTATAAGTAAAAACATAGTTATGAATACATGGATACATATAAGAAAAATAAAAGAAACAATAGGACAGGGGCGGTAGGCACGTTGGTGCGCTTATGCATGCCCCCTACAAACCTCTTAGGAAAGGGGTGAGTTTAGACTGTGCATTCATAGCCTCTTGATTTTCTTTCTTCCCTTTTCTCATAATTGGTCATTCCCCTTTCTTTAAAAGAGCTGTAATGTTCACTGCTTGTTTTCTGTTCAATAAGAATAAATGTTCTAGTGTTCATGCTAGAACAGACATATTGGCTATGTGTGCTGTTTGCTTTGTTCCCAGAGTCTACATTTTTAAATTGTCTAGATTCTTAAATATGCACATGTTCCATAGTATAATAGAGAAATCTTGGCTCCATAATTACAGCATAAATTTCCTCCATTGTCCTTTTGAATGGCAAGCTGGGAAGCTGGGATCCTCAGAGGCTTGTTTCAAACTGGCCTTTGGGTCTGTGATTCTTGTCATTGTAATATTGCTGTTGATAATTCTCACTTGTATCACTATCTTCTAGGGCAGGGATTCCCATCCTTTTCTATACCCCACACCCCTAGAATGTTTCTGATATATTCTTGCACCCCTTACAAAAATAAATATTTATCCACATACACTATAATTTTGAAATTTCTAAACCCAAGTTTTCGCACCACCTGGAAGTTTTCTCACATTCCCCAGCTGGGATCCCCTGTTCTAGGAAAATTCTCAGCTGGCACATCCTCCTCCTCCTCTTCTCTAACCTTAGTGTTTGAAAAAGATAAAGCTCCCACCATCCTCTTGCATACTAGCAAATAAAAAATACACTTTATAGTGCCTGGACATGGAGCGTGAGAATAACCTTTGGAGTCAGCCTAGATCACAAATGGTCTGAGTCAAAAGGAGGAATGTGGGTGGAGCAAGAGTCTCAAGGGATCCTCCCTAGTTCTCTGGTCTGGAAAGTAAAGGCAAGAGAGAGAAGACTTCAGATTTCTAAGATTTTATCACAGTAACTTTACAATAAGGGTAGGAAATTTTGTTTCCTCTAGGCTACCTTGCAGGGCTGAAAGGCTGGATAGAATTGAGATGTCTGACTAATAGGATGAAGACTTCTTCAGAGAAATTTTTTTTTTTAAAAAAGAGCAAATCCTTTTCAGCTTAAAATAATCCCATGCAAAACATTCAGTAGCAAAGCAATAACAATATAAAATTGTTTCAATTTCCTATAGAAAAAATGTAAAGGATTGGTCTGTTTCCAATTCAAACGCAACATACCGTGTTTCTCCAACAATACGACCTCCCCCAATAGGAAGACCCAGCATGTTTTCTAGGCACAAAATGAAATTAAGCCCCTCCCCCCAAATTTAGGCCTATTTTAAAACATGCAAAATGGGGGGGAGGGCGGGGGGACTTGCCGTTAGGAGCGCCCTGCGGGCAGCAATTCCTCGCCACCAGCTGCTTCTAATGGGTGATCATGGCAGAGCGCAGAGAGCTCCCTAGTCCTGCCAAGCACCTTTACGGCAGACCCAAGACCTTCAGCGCCCGCCGATGTTGATTTCCCTTCTGCCCATGCCGCTGCCGCGTTTGGAGCTGCCACTTCTACGTTTGGAGCACCACTGCTGTTTGGAGCACCACTGCCGTTTGGAGCTGCCGCTTCTGCATTTGGAGCTGCCACTGCCACAGTTGGAGCACTGCTGCTGTTTGGAGCTGCCGCTTCCGCGTTTGGAGCACTGCCGCTGTTTGGAGCACCACTGCCATTTGGAGTGCCGCCACCACTCCAAACATGGCGGCAGCTCTAAACGCGGAAGTGACAGCTCCAAATGGCAGCGGCACTCCAAACATGGAAGCGGCAGCTCCAAATGTGGCTGCGGAATGGGCAGAAGGGAAAGTAGCAGCGGCGGGTGCCAAAGGTCTTGGGTCTGCTATTAAAGCTATGTCTTAGTTCTTTTGAATGTTGACAAAAACTGATCATATTATGTACGGTACATCTGGTGATTCCTAATAAGAGAGAATACAGTATTTGTAGCTCAGGGTTCAACTGTGGAGACTTTGATACTCTCTGAGCTTGGTTATTTTCTTGCAAATGTTTCATTACCCAACTAGGTAACTAAGGGAGTGGGTTTCGCTCTCTCTTTAATTACCAGTGGCTTGCCCTGTCAAGGAATCCCCAAGAACGCTCCCATCAACACTGACCGGGCAAGCCATCAGTATATAAAAAGCAAACAAATCCCACTACCTTCCAACATTGATGTAACCTAGTTGGGTAATGAAACATATGCAAGAAAACAACCAGGCTCAGAGCATCAAGGACCTCATGATTCCTAATAGAGATGTCACTAGTCCCATACTGTTTCCTGGTGGCCAGTGTGGCTGGCTTTCAGTGAATTTGGGGGTGGGTTGTGTGCTCTCTTGCAAATTAATTACTAAGCCATACTGACTTGTACAATTCCATACTTCCTGGATAATAAAGCAATTACAGTGTAGAAGCAATCACTCTTAAAGGTGAATAAGAAAAAAAAGTATTGGTATTGATTAAGGCAACAGAAACCGTAAGTAAGAAGAGACAACTTGGCATCTTGAGTTTTAGTTTTCCTAATCCCATTACTGCAAATAGCTAGAAGGTAACCATTGCCTACCCATTGGAGATACTGCTCTTAATTTCTGAATATCTGATTGAAAATGCTTTAAAAAAAAACTCCTGCTTTTTTTGTCACTGCTAGCCAGCTGGTACCCATATTTAGTACTTGCCTTCCCTTGCTTTGTTTCCTAGCATATACCCACAACTTCCCTCCTGCTGCCCGAGCAATTGGCCTTTCGTACATATTGCACAGAGGTCAACCAAGAAGAACCCACAAAGCCAGATGGTCGTGAGGTAGATTCACGTTACAAAGAAATGCCATGGAAATACTTGGAGAGTGAAGGTATGCATGAATAGAGGTAGAAAGGAAAAGTTTCCATGGGTCTAGAATCTGCTGAAAAATGCAGTTTATCCGATAGGTTATTTTTTGTGTGTAAATTTAACTAGTTTGGTTACATAATAAATCATGATTGGATAACTGCAGCTTACCATAGTGCGTGAAATAAGTGTGTGTTTACAAAATGCAAAATGCCTACAGCAACAAAGATGGACAACGAGATTTCCTAATATGTTATAAGTACTCACACAATATGATAGTAAATTAACAGATAGTCCTTGTTGTGCCCTGTCCGGGTACATGACCAGATTTTGGACACTCACCAGTTGGCATTTATAGCCTTTTGCAAGGTCACGTGACCATGATTTATGACATATTTGCTGAAAATTGTTGTTTTTCACTTAACAGCCATGGCATTTGTTTAAAGATTACAGATTCCTCTAACAACCATAGCGATTCACTTAATGATCACTGCAAAAAAGATAAAATTTGGTCAGTCATGTGATGACCAGCTTTATGACCATCACAAATTAAAACTAATGGGCAGGCTTCTTGACAGTCATAAGTCGATGACTTACCATCATAAAAAATAAGAATGAGCAAACAGAAACCATTATAGTTATATATGTTCATTTCTACTTAGCAACAGTATAATTAAAGATCACTGCAAAATTGTACCTTTTCCCTCACCAGA